TTTTTTTTTAAGGCGTCTTTTACAACCTGGCTGTAACAGATGAACCCATTTGCGCAGCTGTCCTCCAAAAAGTCATTAAACCTATCATTTGTGCTGGAGAATCAATTTCCGTCCACTATACAGCGCTCACCATATGTTCCCAGTCAAGATGAAGGCATTCTCTTTTTTTTTTAATTTATTTCAGGAACAATAACCAGCTGGTGGCGTTCCTATCCAAGTTCAGAGACCTGAATTTCATTAAGTCCCACGGACGGGACAATGCAAGGTAAGACGTACTTTCTGAATCTTCCTATGTAGCCTCACTTCCAGCAGCCTTCTGCCTCCTTCCCTCTGTCTCTTTTCCCCCCCTATTCGCTCCCACACTTGCAGCTCATGTGCCAACACAACGTGGACACTGAATCATAACACAATTAGCTTCCCATCTGTGGGCTCCATTAATTAACCTTCTTGGTGAGGCGAGGTTGCTGCCAGAGCGCCGCTCGCCGCTGACGCCACCTCGCTCTCTGCCCGGTCGCGCCCTCGTGGCCGGGCCCAGTCATCGCTCAGCACCGTGGGCAGAAAGACCCGAAGCAGCGGGAGCAAATGTCCCGCAAGCACGCATGAGTCAGTGTGACTCAGCGGTACCTTTTCGTGATTGCGGCCGCTGTGTCTGATCACGTGATCCCCTCCGACAGAAGAGCTTCTTGTTTATTAAAACGCGCGCGCGACTAATTAAATCGAACATCTCAACGACCGCATTAATCGCCCCGAACCTCTTTACTACAAAGATTAATGTCTGAGCGCGCGGCACCGGTTCAACACATCGCCATTCAGATGGCAGAGGGAGCAGTCTGACCTGCCTGACCTAAATTTGACTCCCCGCATCCAACACTTGATCTGTTCGCAGGAGTAACACCACCTGCTGTGTCTGTAGGCTGTCACTGTTACTGCAGCGGGTGTAGTGAAATATCTAGTGAGAAGTTGTGGCTGCCCAGCTCTCTGTGCAGCATTTCTGTGTGCATTTTTTGTGCCGTTTGCTCACTTTTTTTTTGTGTTTTTTTTTTTTTTTTTGCATCTTTACAGAGAGGAGTGTCTCTGAAATAGATGGGGAATAAGGTTTGGAACGAGGATGAAAATGTTGTATCCTGTAGTAAAGATAATCGTTAGGGAATAGAGAATAAAATCCACATAACAGTTCTTGATGCTCAATTCTGATCTTTATTTTTTTGGCTTTTTTATTTATACAACTAATTAAACTCGACCAAAATGAGATTTCCGTGTGAACGGTTCACGTCCCCAAAGTGACTCACATGTGAAGAACATTGATGTCATTCAACAAGCATTGTTTACAGACGTCATAATGGATGGAGGAGTTTATCGATCCATTTTGAAGTTCACAGCCAACAATGTCACAAAATCATAACGACACGAAGAAAGCTAATAAGAAAGCGTCACTAACAGCGATGGCTTTTTGTGGAGCATTGACTGCAACTTCTGTAGAGGAATCTGGATGTGTAGTCAGACCCAGCAGTGGTCTGATCGTGATGTGATGATGCGCTTCAGCGACGCACTTCTTTCTTAAGTTCACAATCGTAATTTTCAGTCATCGTTTACATCCCGACTTTCCACATGTGGCTTCGTCTGGTGCCGAATTATGACACGTCTCACATCGATGACATAAAAGTCAGATAAAATGCGGCATGACGGTGAAGGCAGCAGACGCTTTGAAAAAACCCGGATATGAGTCAGTAGCACACATGGAAGTGGCACACATCAGGTCTTTTCGGGGGGTGAAAAGATTGGTCCGTTCAGACGGCGTTGAAAAAGCGGGATATAGGTCGCGTTTTGGGGAAAACCGCAGATTTGGGTCGTATTTGCCTTCTGTGTGAACGGAGCCTTTAGGACTGGTAACCATCACATAAACTGAACCCACATCTTTCTTACAAATGTGGCACCATTTTAAGAGAATAATTGCCAAGGGGGGAAAAAAAAATCTTACACATTTTTGGACTTTTTCTACTATCTTTATCTCGTGAAAGAAGATTTTTGTCCAGTTGTCAGCTGTGTGACCAGACCGTCCTGTTTGTCTCTGTCAGGTTCATCCGTAAGCAGGGTCTGGATCGTCTCTTCTACGAATGCGACACTCACATGTGGAGGCTGGGCGACCGAAAAATCCCAGAAGGCATCTCTGTGGATGGCGGCTCTGATTGGTTCCTCCTCAACCGCGTGTTTGTGGAATATGTGATCAACTCCAAAGACGATCTGGTCACCAACATGAAGCGATTCTACGCGTACACGCTGCTGCCTGCTGAGGTAACACAGGCCAGCACACAAACACACACAAGGTCACATCTTTTTTTTTTTTTTTTTCTCTCTAACTTGCAAGCCCTGCTTTGTATTTGCACCGCATCATTTAACAAACAACAGTCACACTGTTCTCCTTTTGTTAATGTGAGATGACTCAAAGGCGGACACCGAGAGTCGGAGAGACTTAAGATCCTAACCTATCAGCCATTAACTCAGGTTGGGGGGGAAACAACATAAACCTCTGCAGGGAAATTGAATGTTTATCAAGAGCTGTAGTAAATCTATTTTTTTTTCCTGCTCCCAATCTTATTTCCTCTTGTCAAGTGGATTATGTGGGTAAAAACAACAGGCACACGGTTTTTCTAATTTTCCATCTCTTTTATTTTTCCCTCCTTATCTCGCCACCTGTTTTCCTCCTCGTCTCTCAGTCGTTCTTCCACACCGTGCTGGAGAACAGCGCCCACTGCGAGAGCATGGTGGACAACAACCTGCGCATCACCAACTGGAACCGTAAACTGGGCTGCAAGTGTCAGTACAAGCACATCGTGGACTGGTGCGGATGCTCGCCCAATGACTTCAAGCCTTCAGACTTTCACCGCTTCCAGGTAAACGCAACACGCCCCGCCTGTTGTGATTGATCAGCAGCAACACTTGAAGTTAAAATTCATAATAAATGGTGTTTTGGTGCATTTTTTTCCTTCTTCCTGATAATTTCAGTTTTGTAGGATCATTAGTAGTTAAAAAAAAAAAACATTCAAAAATAGTGCAAAGAAAAGATGTGCACCAACTTCAGTTTTGTTTTTTTTTTGCAGATATACAAAAACAAATTTTGACATCAGACAAACTTGGTTGAACTTAACCTGAATGAACAACATTTAAAGCACAGCAGGTCTCACTTGCCTCAGCTGAGGTCAGCGTTTATAACTGAACAACAGGGAACAGATTATTGGCAACAATGACCTCCATAGGAGAGTTTCAAGGCGAAAAACCACACCTGATCAAAAATAACTCAAAATCGCACATCTGTTAGAAAACATCTTGATGATCTCCAACAGCTTTTGGAAAATATTATTTGGCATAACGAGACATCAGTGAAACTTTCTGAAAGTTTTGTGTCCAGTTATATCTGACGTAAAACTCAGCCTGGGTTTTATGGGTCGATAGCAAATCTGAGATTTGTTTTTATGCCATATGCAATTTCCGATTTCAATAAATTTTTTCTTCACTGTTTTCTGTAAAAAAATAAAAAAATAAAAAATACAATGAGAAAATATATTTTAAAAACTGGCTTTTATTTCAATCATTCCTTCTTTAAGCTGTAAAACATGGTGGTCATACAAGCTGCTAGTTGTTGGGGTTGGCTAACATCAGTCTGAACTACGGAAACAAAAGAAGTGCATTGGTTAAAAAAAAAATATCCAGATTTTCAAATTCTTCTACAGTGATGCAAAAAAAAAAAAAAAAAAACTCTTCATCAGGTTGAAGAGACAGTTGCTTTTTGACGTTAAGTTGGTTAGTTAGTTTTGATAACTTTTTTAAGTTAATTTTGAAAATTGCTTTCTATATTTACTCAGCCTTTGTTTCTCTAATCAAACTACGTCTTAATGATCTGAAACACTCAAGTGTAACAAACAAGCAATAGCATAAGTAATCTCATTGGGACAAACTTCACAACAATGTAACTAAAAGCATTTTTTTTCTATCTTATTGCTGATGTTGAGCAAAAGGATTCCACTATTTCTTTCGCTCTTCTCCTAAACTACAAACGTTCAGAAAGGTTATTTTGGTCAAACAAAGGTCGCACAAATAATTACCAACACATATATCAGACATACTCCTGAGGGACAGTTTAAAAAGCTAAAATCAACATAAATAAATGTCTCCTTTTAATGCATGAGTGCAGCATTTAGTAGAAAATCAACAGCAGTCAATCGTAATAAAACGAACCGGTCCTCTCACGCTCGGCGTCCCACAGCATTCACTGTCAATATGTGCAAAATCACATCTCCATTAGGATGACCCTGATAGAGGAGAGAAAAGCAGCAGTAGCTGTAATTAGGTCCTGTTTGCCTTTGGTATTGGGAGACAAAGAGAGAGACAGGGGGGGGGGATTTGGCCAGCTTATCACAAATAAAGTAACTTTGTTTCACTATTTGACTTTCAGGCGGCTCTTAAAACAGAAAAGAACAAAGTAACCATACACAGTCTGCCTTGGCTTAGCTTCATTTTTACTCATATCCTTCATGTGGTGAGTCACTTCATGTGCAGTGCTCTCCAAATACCAGCCATCACACTGACCTCCACGCTCCCTCCGCCAAACCTGGTTGTCTCGCTTCTGTCCCTGGCAGACCAGTGCCAAAACGTTGCCCTGAGCTCCTTGGCGCTGCTGCGGGGTCCGCTTGGCTTTCGACGTGGTGTCAGTGAGGTCTGACCCTGGAAACAAAGCAGCCCTGTGAGAGGACTAACTGATCCTCTTATAAATTATTTTAGTAATGATGTTCATTTATTCATGAACCGCATTCAAAACCCTCGCAAGCTGGACCAACGTCCTGGCCAACCGCAGTGGAGAAAAACGCAGGAGATTAAGCAATGCTAACAAGAAATATCTTGTAAACAATCTTATATCAATTAAGTAACAATTTAGACAGGAAAAAGTCTCAAATAAAGTAATTTTAAAGTCAATTCTCTTGGGGGAACTTGAGAGAGTGTGTGACCTTTTTGTTATCATTTAGTTACAGGTTTTTCCCTGTTATCTCTGGGGGAAAAAAATTACACAGAGTGATATATTGTAATGGTTTATTTCTGTTAACTTTAATGCTTATGACTTACAGCTGATGGAAATCCAAATTCAGTTTTTTCAGAAAATGTAAATATTACATAAAACTTTCAAAAAAGATTTTTTTCACAGAAATGTTATGTTATCCTCATGGATGCACAGATGATGACAGTCAAATTACAGAGTTTATTTTTCTACTTTTGATGCCATCAGTGACATAGCGCCCACCTCAAATTCTGTAAAACTTATGCGCCTGAACAAAAATAACAGGACATAATGTTTTTAACAATAAAATTGCACATTCTACAATAAAGTTTGTGCACCTGCCTGTCTATAATTTGCAAATAAAATACATTATGTAAATTAATTTAGTGTTTTATCCATAACTTTAAAGAAAAATTATAATAATCTAAATTAACTATTTCCAGGGTGCAACACTCCTGTTGCTTTTCAAGATGTATGGAAAAGCTGATTTCATTTCCCATCAAGAATACCTGCTTAGTGGCACTGTGACTGATTGGCCAGCAAACTGTCCTGATTTAAACCTCGGAGAGAAATTATGAACTATTGTTTAGAGGAAGACGAGAGACACCGGATCCGAAAACACTGACAAGCTAAAAGCGGCTTTTCAAGCTCTCTGGGCTTCCTGAACACCTCAGCAGAACAACAGACTGATTGCCTCCACAGCCTGCTGCGTTCTGTAGTAATTTATGCAAAAATGAGTCGCAACCAAGTGTCGAGTGCACATAATGCACATGGACATACTTTGAAGCAGTATGTTCATGTGTTAAAAACTATTCTAATGTAAATATCGCATTTTCGGGAAGCAGAAAATTTAATGGACGACTGCCAAGTCAATTTTCTCAAGATTGTGTAAGCCAGAAAAATGCCAAAATATAACATTTTTGTAATGTTATTTTTTATTATACATTTGTTGTTTTTCTTTGTTGATAAATTGAAGTTTGGTTTTCATTAGCAGTAAGCCACAATCATAAAGATTAGCAGAAACAAACGCCTACAATGTGTCAGACTCTGTGTATTTAATTTGTATAATACATGAATTTGAAGTGAATCGCTAAAATAAAGAACTTTTTTGTACTAAGATGTACTTTAGCATGCTTCAGAATAAACGAATCAGTTCTTTCAATCGACTCCACAGAATGTGAGCCGGGGGCCCCTCCTCACTCTGGAAGCATATCTATGTTTAATTTAACACCTCCGGCTTGCCGTACATCATCCCACACTTACTGCTACATGAGAAAAAAAAACTGAATTCCAAGAAAATGAGCAGCCACCTCATTAGGTCTCCTCTTTTATCGGTTAAGGTTTTTTTTTTTTTTTTTGCAGGTAACACCAACGTGTTTGGTACTGCAAGATAAATAGTTTGATGTCTGGGACTAACATTAGATGTGTTTGTGTCAAAGCCAAGCTGTGGAGGAGGCAAATTTCATGATGCATCATCAACCACAGAATAAGCGACGTGGCGTGGACAAAGAAGTGGAAAAAGATGTGGATGAATCGGAGGCAAAGACCAGACTCAGACAGACAAAACGGGGGCATGTTAGATGAAAGTTTCTGTTGAATCACACTTTCCAACTCTGCCCAAATTTACATGCAGATAGCTGGGAAATAAGAGATTTTCTTTTCTTCCCTACCTATCTTAAATTACAATTGATCCTGAAAGTTTTTCTTTTATTAACTACAACATCAGGCAACGATGTTGTGAGTGACTTGCAGTTTTCGTGGTGAATTTCAAGTCAACTGGGTGGTGAGGGTTGAAATGTTTGTATGTGGATATCCTCTCCGGGCTCCGATATATTCATACACTGTTCCTAATATTTGAGTAAATATGCCTTTGACAAGCAGCAGCTCGACTGCAATGCATTAGTGCCACAGGCAGGCAGTGAAATAGACCCTCAATATGATACTACCACCACCGTGCTTGGCAGTTGCTATAGAGCTCTTAGGTTTTGAAATATCCTCTATATTTCAGTTTAGGTTAGACTGATGGGACAAAAATCCAAAACACAGATTAAAACTGGCTTTAGAAAATGCAAAACAGTCTTATACTAAACTACTGTAAGTAAATAGTGAAAGAACTGGATGCAATCATTGATCAAAGCAAAACAAACCTGTTTAAATAAGCTGAATGAGATAAGGGATAATATAAATTCTTGATTTAAAGTTAAAATATTTTCTTAACTTTTCATTTTTTAGATATCTATATAGATTGTGTACACCAGTGGTTCCCAAACTTTTTCTTCTGCGCCGCCCCCAGTGGTTTCCAAACATTTTCTGCGCCCCCCCTATGGATTACAAATGTCTGTCTGGTTGACCGACGCGTGTGACGGGAGGCATTGACTTTTTTGGGGGCAAAATGAATGTATGTAGCTGAAAATAGACACCAACATCGGTAGCCTACAAGGTACTTGGTACTTGTTAAGCTTAAGGTTCTGTATTGATATTAGCTAGTCATCTTTTAGCTAACATTAGCTAGTCATCTTTTAGCTAACATCAGCTAGTCATCTTTTAGCTAACATTACCTGCATCCAGCAGCTTTACTCAACTCAGTCGGTTAGTTTGGAGGGAAAAACTGTGAAAAGTGAAAAGTTCTTTGTGTTTTGCTGGTTTGCTGCCGTGATTCTAACACAAACCTACGCAGCTCCGCCCAGCAGCAGCAGGTCTCCTTCACAGGTGTAAACCCAGCGCAAGCGTCGTAGCGCTCATGTTGCGTTTAAAGGCGGCTCGGAAAAACAGGTTACAACATGTTAACAACGGATTAAACAGTTTTAACTGCTGATAAAAGTGACGGAGGACACAAATATGGGAAGTGTGGAAGCCTCTACTGTATCAAATTTACAGAGGAATAGCAGAGAGTTGGCCATTCTAAGGTAAAAACCCAGCGCATACAGTGTTCATGTTTTGTTTTTTTTTCATCCAGACGGCTTCCCGCGCCCCCCCTGCAATGACACAGCGCCCCCCCTAGGGAGCGCGCCCCACAGTTTGGGAACCTCTGGTGTAAACATTTAACACCCTCAGTGTTTTTTTTTTTTTTTCAGTTTTTCTCATAGCCATTTTTGGTTATACTGACACATTACCATTGGGAGCCTTTAACACAAATGTATTTGCAGATTGAAAAGTGAGACCAAATAGAGGGCAATTTTGATTTAATACAGATTCTAATTCATTCACAAATCTCTAAGAAGACGATTTTTCTCGTTTTCGGTCTGCTGCCTTCAGCCGCCCCCCTACTCAACCTCTTATCAGCATTTTTTTTTCCCTCTCTCTCTTCTCTGCCCACCTATCACTTCCACACGTATCTCACACATCACATTTCGTTCCCCTCACATCCTGGCTCACCACCGTTTAATAATCTTCTCCTCTTTTTTTTTCTTCTCTTTATCTCCTCTGTCCCTGCTTCGCTCCTCTGCTCGCCTCCCGCCTCGCTCTGCGTTTCTGCAGCAAACGGTGCGGCCCACCTTCTTCGCCAGGAAGTTTGAGGCCAGCGTGAACCAGGAGATAGTGAACCAGCTGGATGCCTACCTGTTTGGACCGCTCCCCCAGGGGACCCTGGGACTGAACTCGTACTGGGAGAATGTTTACGACGAGCCAGATGGCGTCGCCAGCCTGTCGGACACGCTGCTCACGTATTACCACTCCTTCACGCGGATGGGCCTGGTGAGGGCTGCGGCCTCGCTTCAGGGGAACCCAAACGATCACAGCTGCAGGTTGGTTTTCCTAAAAATGTGTGCGCTTGAGAGGGTAAACAGCCCCGTACATTCACCGATACACACGCATGTAGCTCTTCAGCATTTATTTCACTACCACCACTCTTGTAATTGCTGCTATTATTACACACCTGCAGCTTGTGTTTGTCCAGTTCGTCGTCTTCTCGGAAACCAGACTCACCTTTATTAGCTTTGGAAACCACATTGCGCGGCACATAAATGGCCTTCCGCGTTTCTCCTGGTGCATCGCCTCATAAGATCACATATCATGGAAATAGGATAACAATGGATAGCTTCAATAAGCAACTGGGAGGCCTGGCTAAAGCCTTTCATTTTGTAACACAATATGACACCATCAATTTATCTCTGCGATAATGAGGCTATGTAGGTCATACCGCAGAAAGCCAGCTTGGTCTATTATTAGTAGGAATGAATGAATTTCAGAGTGCTGTAAATACACTGTATGCGGTTGAAATAAAATGAACAAAAGGCTGTACGTCAATTTCATGTACTTGCCTTTTGGTGTCATTTTGTTATTAGTTTGGTTTTCCTTCTTCAAAAAAAATTTTTTTTTCAAACAGAAACTAATTGTGATGCGCTAATCTTGTTTTGGTACCTCCCGATACCAACTTTAGGTAAATTCAGTTTTTATTTTATTTTATTTTTTTTTTATTGAGAATAACAGTTGCAGTAAATTCTTAATTTTATAAGGAACAGAGTTCACATTGTGTGTGAAGGAGGAGTCGCTGTGAAGCAGGGTCTTAGCATAACACATGCGGTTCTTCTGTTAGCATCTTCTGTTAGCATTTAGCCAGGTTAGCTTTCTGTGTGTCTTCTCTAAATATTGTGGGTCCTTACCTGAATCTGAATATTTCCACAAGGCTGCCAACATTTACAAATGCAACAAATTTCATGAATGACAGAGATTTAAAACTCAAAAGGATAAAACAGAGAAACTTTGCAGTTGTTCACTGAGTCTTCCTTTTTTTCTCTGGTAAGTTTTGCTTTCTCTAATAGCCTACTGAACAGCAGACCTGTATGGACCTGTCATAGAAAAGTTTTTTGTATTATTATTTATGAAACACCTCTTATGTCTTTGTGTGTAATTCATTCTTACTTCTCCTTACTGATACTGAACACTGCTAACTTTGAGTCTTCCTCCCTCAGGAACAGCTTCCACATTGACAAGTGTCAACTGGATGTGGTTGCACTTGGTGCAGTAGTCATTAGAAAAAGATGCAATTTTTTGAGTTTTCAAACAACTGGTCAGCGGTCAGGGATGCTCAATCTAAAAATTGTACAGAACACATGCATTACCTCCGGTCGGATCTGTGGTTGCGCTTCCCTCGTATCCTCTCATCCCCTTGACTCGCTGGTCAAGCCTGATCATGATCTTGGTTCTGCTCGACATCACTTCCTGTCAGAGGGGTCTTGTTCCTCTCCACTGTTGTTCAGTTCTTTCACATGCTGAGGGATTAAAACGAAATCAAGTTTTGAAGCAAAGTGCTGTTTTTCTTCACCTGAAACTATCATTTTGTGATTTCTTTAATCAGATTGTTTGAAATTGCATTTTAATTGGACAGATTTTGACTTTGTGCTACTAGTCTGAAGGTGAATATTGCATTTCTGCCTGAAATGAATTGAAGAGTGGTAATCAAACTGGAGCTGGACCCTCTTGTTTTCATTCAAAGTATACGTTTGGTGTGATTTTTATTAGGACGGTTGTGACTAGCTGCCATGACTGATTAAGCTGACTGTAATGTCATTAACATTAAAACGCTTAGTGAATACATCATTTTTATTGGATTATTTTTTATCACTTTGCCTTTACTTAACAAAAATAACCTCAATCTTTTCCTCTCCTTTCTGCTGTAACAACAGGCTGCAGGAATGCGTGCCGGTCATTTCATACATCCGTCGTGGTCGGCTTCACTCATTGGCTGGTTCTTTGCGAACAGCAGATGATAAACTAATGGTTTGGACGCTCCTCACAGGAGCGCAACCATAAAGCATGACCATTTGAAAAAGACACATTTTTGGCTGAGAAATCTACTTAATGGACTCTATGAAGACAGACAGGCACTCTGTCTGCTGTAGCGGCTCGAAAGCAAAGAATCCAAGTCAAGGCGTTTTCAGATAGTGCCATAAAAGAACTCAGGCTTCTTCACATTTCTTACAAAAGTGAAACAAAATGTACCTACAACTTAATTTCTTGTTCTGTTTTTTTACTCGGAAATGAGAACTTTCAAACTCCTGTTTGAAAAAAAGAAGGAAAATTGCTTAGATCACTCTGTTAATCACTCAGTTAATTCATCACTTTGTCCACAGTAGAGCTCATATAAAGCAGGCATTAGATGTGAGACGACGCAAATAAACTGAATTGAGTTGAACTGCTTTTGTTGGTCGTTTTCCAAATGGCCAGTCCACATCATGCTTTGGAAAAGTTTTAGACCCACATAAGTGAACCGACTGTCTCATTTGTTTAGTAAATCTAGGTGGCACTGCAGAAGCAATCACCTCTTTGTGTGATTTCCTCCTCATGTGCAGGAAATGAAGCAGTAGCAAACCCCTCTGCCACCCACTGTCTGGCCTGCAGTGTAAATGTTCTTTAAAATGATGATGAAAGGAAGACAGATTTCATGTTTTCCATACGTCAAAACAAAAATAAAAAATAAAAAGGAATCTGCCAGCTATAGTTAGCTATAGTCTTTTTTTTTTCATTCAGGCACTGGATCTTTTCCATAGAGCAGCATTTCCCAACCCTGGTCCTGAAGACACACTGCCCTGCATGTTTTAGATGTTTCCCTGTTTTAACACACCTGATTCAGATGATTGCAGTTCAGTGAGCCCCTGTTAATCTGAAATCTGGTGTGCCGATGCAGGAAAACATCTAAAACATGCCAGGCAGTGTGTCTTGAGGACCAGAGTACCTAAAAATAAATGTATGGTATGTAGTAGGAGCTGTTCCAATTAGCCTTTCTATTATCTGGTTCAAGCAACTGAATTAATTCATTTGGAGTCGTGACCCAATACTTTTTGGCAACGTAGTGCTTTTTTTTTTTTTTTTTTAATTGAAGCAATGGGGACAGTTGTAAATGGTTAAAAACCCAGAGGTCACAAATGATGTGCGTCTATTTGAGACAAAGTTGTGCATGTGCAAGTATGCAGGTTTGACTAATCTACCCTGAACTCTCATGTAATGACCGCGGGGACAAAGGCGCCAAACTCCCTCATAATACTGCAACAATAAACAAGTTTAGACAAATTTGAACTTTTATTTACCTGTTTTACCAGTTACAACTTCCTGTGAGTTTAAGTAAGTATGTTCTTCTCATATATTCATTTTCTTTTCTTTCTTTTTTTGCTTTGTAGCAAAAAAAACCATGACTCCTCTATATTGCTGTATCATAAATACTAAAAGACCAGAGTCAGAAAACATAACACAGACACAGCAATACAAAGATGGTTCTAAAGCTGTAAAAAATTATCAATGCATGAGCAAAAGCACAAGGTCACAGAGAGAGAACAATAAATGGATAAAAGTCTTATAGATGTAATCTAGTCATAGAGCGGGTTAAAAATACAAAACTGAACTAAAATGTAAAAACAGGTGTTGTTGAAAAATATGCCACGGTGTCATAAATGCAGTCCAGATCCAGAGCTAAATAAAGTCTTAGGGTTGAATCTAATCGGTTTTTCTCAGGTTTATGTTTATGTTCTGGGCTTTACGGCCATTACAGCAATTTCTTTGATTTACAGCAGAGAGCCTGCAGACTCCGAGGAAAAACATCAGAGGGTGAAAGGAGCAAGAATGACTCTCTGCAAAGGGAGAAAGTTAAATGAGAAAACACATAGCAGTATCTTTAGTGACAGGACGTTCATTCATCCTGTTTGAGCTTTTAATCCTGTTTGTCTGTTTTGCTCAGGGACAGTGTGAGTGTTTACATCAGCAAATTATACTCCTACTAAGTGAAACTACTGATAAAAAAAATAAAAAATTGCCGAATCCTGCCACAGTCCCGGTAGTTAGTTGGAGAAGGGGAACATCCTCGTCCTCCCAAGAATAATATATTACATTCTAATGTGAACCATAATTTGAATGCTGCTCTTAGTTCTCTGATACTCTTATAATCCTGAGCTCTCATGGTCTGTGATGAAGCAGGTACGTTTCTAGGTCTTTCATCATTAAGTGAAAATGTTTTTTCACTAACATGTTGTGACAACATTAAACAACACTGAACAGCAGCTCTAAAATGAAAGACCTTCATTGGTATTGATTGGCTGTTCCCCCAAGAGTGGAGAAAAGGAAGACAGTAGATTTTGGCTTAGCGCCCTGTGCAATGTCCATTTCCACTGGGCGCATTTATGCATATTATGTCTGAACTATTAAAAAAAGTAATTAGAAAAAATTTTTAGAGAGGGGGGGGGGTGTGTCAAGGATTTGCAAGTTTTAGCTATTTGCGTGCAGCGGATGAAGTGTATTGAGATGTTTTACAGCTAAATAGACTCTAATCTGTACAAATGTCATACCTAATTTATGTTTTAACAACAATAAAGGAAACATTTTGGAATGAGAGCTACTTTAGCATATGTTTGATAAAAGTTCATGCAAGGTTCATGTGAGAAAAGAGAAGAAAGAAGCAATCAGATTTAAAGGAACCACAATGAATTTATCACATAATGGTGTCAGTAATGGGCTCAGAAACTAATGAACTCACCTACCAACATTTCTTAACTTGGCCTACTTCAGGTAGGGGCTGTTTTTAATTGTTTTAGATTTTGATCTATAAATATAACGAGACAGCAGTTATTTATTTAAAAGACATCTCTCAATAAAATCGACAAGTGCTACAGTTCACATACATCCTGTTTTCCTTGAACAGAAAAACGTCCTTGGAAAGTTTGAATTTCTTTGGATCTTCACTTCCCCCTCTGTAGATTGATACTTCTGCTGCAGTGTGGAAAAGTGATTCTCTAAGGTCTTTAAAAAAAAAAGAAGA